GTGACTTGTGACCAAATATACAAGTCAGGAAGGTTAAAGGATTGATATACTTACTTAGCATAAGCAGGTCCACCATCATAAAGATATTTACTGAAAGCTTGTCTAAGGTTCTCAACATGACCAGCCTCAACCAATGCACGAGCCACATGGAGCCGTCCAGGGGCAACCCCATTTCCAGCTATCCTTGCAACGTGCTCCCATTTAATTGGAATTTTCAACTTGTTCAACTTTAGTAGCATGTCTTTTGCACGACGGAAACGTCCATCCCTTATTTTCACCAAGCATTCCTCAAGCTCCTCAAATTTGGCAGGCCCACAACTACTGTAATATGCAAGGATATGAACAGGTTCCTCGGTTCCAGAATTTCCCCTGAAATACCCAAATAATGGTGGTAAATATATGGCAAAAACTAATAGTTAAGGAAAAGGGTTCTCAGAATTCCTCAAAATAACTTTACTTATGCTGCAAAACCCACTTATATTTTGCACAAATCAGCCACATATCTACAAATGTCATCTATAAAAGCTCCCCAACTCCATACTGTAGACTGCAAGGCCATGCCCAGCCCAGCAGTGCCCGGCCCTGAAAAAGTAGGGCCTAGGACACAAATTGTAGCCCTAGGGCCAGTGCCTGTCCATTTCGGCTCGGTCAGGCACTCTTTTGTTTTTTCCCTTCTTTTTTTCCTTTATTTTTTCTTCATTTGTTTTTGGCACAGCCCCATGGGGACAAGGGCCGGGCGGGCCATGGCAGGCCCGGCCCATTGCCACCTTTAAATGTAAAGATTCTTAACTGATAAGAATATCTGATGAATGGTACGCAAAAAACCTGAAAGGTTCTTAGAATCCTTGAATGAGCTAGCCAGAAAGGCACACATGCCATCTTAAAATCGCTCAGCATAATTGTAAAAATACACAGTTATATTTTATATAAAAAAGGACCAAGAAAACCAAAAGTAGAAGGATACCGGGGTGAAAACATTGTACTGATTTCGACACCAGGTATAATCCTGATTCCAAACTTGCGAGCAGCCTCCAGAGCCTCAGGTATCCCTGCCATGGTATCATGATCTGTGAGAGCCAGTATTTTCACCTGTTCTGAACACATTGTAAGTTGGTTATTTCCTCCCATCAATCAACTTAAAATCATTTGGGTTTTTTTTATGTGTAAAAGCAACTTAATTTCTAATAAACCATGTATCAGAGTGGCAGATCTATAGCAACCAAGCCGCTCATTGACATTGTATTAGTTTATAATTACTTAGAAGATGAGTTCATGAATCAGACAAACACCCTAGCCATATTTATCTCCATTGACTCATGTAAGAAGAGAGATGAGTCGCAAAAATGAAAACCAGCTTCCAACGACAAACCAAACTTGCCCAACAAATTGAAATAAGTGAGAAATTGTCCCAGAAATCAAGACCATGGAAATGCTTGGAAGTGCCTTAGATCTTCCATTTCAAACTGATTGCGTTAGTATACACTTCATATTACTGAATTCAGTATCAGTGTATCATATCAGAATCGCATTCCCAAAAACGCACAGAAGACTAGACATCCTAATGGATGAGGCCTTGCTTCCAATATTAGATAGACATCAGCATGACTCCCAATTGTAACCTCAAGTAACTCAATGACGCAACCAAACATAAACGAGACACTTTCCCTTAATTATGGTAAGCAAAGAGGTCCTTGAACTTTCCCTGCGTAGACAATCTGAAGGGACATTTAACAACATGAAATGATGAAAATTCCCATGAGCTAGATACTAAGGTGTAGAATATAACTTACAATAAAGATGTGGCATATAAGTCGTCACACCAAGCTGCCTTGTTGGGGGTAGGAAAAAGGATTTTTTAAAAGTTACATCGTGATATGTGAACTTCAACCTATAACATTAGCTGATTCCCTGTATATAAAAGCACAGCCAAAAATGATGAGGAGATAGGATGGCGCATACCAAGACATGCTATGCAGGACACGTATGCGATCCAAACAGGTCCTGAGTAACATGTGCTGTTTCAGATAGTTCAGCGTGTCAGGATTCAAACTTGGGAAGACAGTTACAATAAAAGTAACATGTGCCTTCGTTCTGCCAATCCATTCTACTTTGGGAAGTAAGGGCACACTGATCACAGAAGCTATAGGTTTCAACTGTGAAGATATCATACAGGTGCAAGGTAGTGGAAACAATAAAAGATGGGTTCAAAAGATTTCTGTAGGATGATGACATTCTTACCATGGCATGAAGTGCCAACATTTGACAGAGATTACAGAGTTAATTCTTATAAAAATAATAATAATAATAATAATAATAAAACTAAGTGCAAATGCTAAGACATCCATTGAAAAATCATTAATGAGAACAAGAGGGAAGCCTGGATTCCCAGATCATATATCACAATTGTGTTAAAACATAGAACAGAAAGGACTGTGTTCTCCCCAAGTTCACAAGTGGTATTAAAATATGATGATGAATCTCTAATACAAGTAAGAACATATGTGCTAAGCATAAACATGTAAATTACCTTATGTTGATGCCACACTGAAGTTGGCACTTTACAGACACTCTAACTGTCAGCAAAAGGACAGGATTAGACAAGATGTCTAGATTCCATGCCATTTCCTCAAAAAATTGACTTGAATGTCTTTAGGTCATTGACAGAGAAAAAGAACAGGTAGAAAGAAAAGCATACTAGAAATCATCCGTACATTAACAAGGAAAAAGAGGCTTGGTAGTGAACTTGGGAGCCAAAAACACCTTCAAACCAGGAAGTTTGCCAAATTGGGTAGAGGTAGAGACTGTCCAATAACAAAAAGGAAGAAGCAGTTACATTACGAGTAATAAAACCAACAAACTTTGGCTATGCTAAAACCTTCAATGATAATACTCCCCAAAAAATAGCTCTAGAGAATATCAGACTACAAGTGGAGAACTTCAGTTTAGAGAACGACGTAACCAACTTGAGACAAAAATGAAAATGTGTGGTAGGGAAAGAACTCTTGCAGCTCATTTCAAAGAGTCAGTGCAGCTCATTTCAAAGAGTCGATGCAGCTCAGCAAACCGAGGAAGAGCCGATCACATTGTGAGGAATGTGACAACATGCTAACACTTATCTTCTGGTTTCCATATTGCAACTTGTATTCATGGTTAAAGTTTTCGACCACCACTGAACACCATTTGTGCATTGCACTACACAACTATTGAGGCAAATATGAAGAAAATGCTGAACGTAGAATAAAATCATTTTGAATATCTTTTTTTAATAGCTTAGATGCCATAACTTTCCCACCAAGATTCCGTAATTTGTGTTTCCAAAATCATGATTCTGCTCTATGTGATTGAAAACCATGTCTGCATGCAGGTCTTGCTCATACTAGAACCACAGGGAGCCTAGATTCATGAACCTCTAGCACCTTTCTTAGACGCTTCCCCTTAGAGATCCTTCCACATGCTTCAATAAGAAATAAATATTTATCTCAGCTTTCTGCCTTTCTTTTTAACTCCGTCATTGTTTCTTTTCAATCATTTTTCAAGTTTCAGCTGATGTTATTCATAACAAATTTAACCAAGAAAATGTTAATCATAAGAAATTCATATTTCAAACTCAGTTACTAGCTAGAACTGAATTGCTATAAAAAGGTATCAGCACCTAAATGTGCTCATGGGTCTAAAAAGTGGAGGTCAGATGGTTTTCCTAGGAACAGCTAACTTTAGCCAGTGCTACAAGGACACCAACACAGGCCTCGGTATTTAGTAGGCGTCTAGGTGTCTAATACATAGGACCAGAAACCCTGTACTTCCCTGTCACGTTCATAATATGTATTATTCCATAAGTATTTTATATTACAACAACATAAGTAACATAAAAATGGTAGCTGCGCCTTTTCAAGTCACAAGGGAGAGACATCTAGGATTCGATTCCCTAGTCGAGCATTATTATATGTTTGACTTTTCAATTTATAAAAGGTTATATAAAATACATTCACCAACATGTGCATAAAAAGATAGGCACACTTGATGGTAGAAGCAAACATTGTCTTATCAAAAGTTCCTAGGATCCAATCTCTCGCCAACCTAGTTTTGATGTTGATAAAAAGAAAACGGTGTTACCCCGACCTTCACAGCAGCTTTGGTATTACATGTCGACACTTAGACACGATCGGTAAGGCTAGACACAGCCCTGACACTTGATCGTACGTCTCAGATGATGTCATTGACATTGAATATTGTACTGACACTTATTATAGAAGTGTCTTCCAATTTTTTATCATTTAAGCCAAATTGCCTAAGCAGTAGAGTGGACGCACATGATTGACAGGCCATCGGTTAAAGCTCCAGCCATGCACATTTTTAGGAATTTTATTTTTTTTAGTCAACACCAAAACCTTTTTCTTTTTTTGTTAACACTAAAACCAGGCTCTAGAGAGATCCCAGGACCTTTCGCTAATGCAACATTACCTCTACCATCAAGTGTGCCCATCTTTTTATGCACATGTTGGTGTACATTTAAGTGTCGTTTAAGTAACATTCAATGACATTACCAGACAATGTACGGTCACCTGTCAGGGCGTCTCTAGCCGGTCGACACATGATACCCAGGCCCATGTGAAGGTGCGGGGTAATGCTGACTTTAGCAGGGAGAAAATTTATTTAAGAATTTGCATCATTTTATTTAAGGATTTGCATCGTACAATGATGCAACATGTGTTCCAATGATCAGATGATAATGGATCTTATGCTTGTGGCACAAGCATCAACCAATGGAATGACCATCTATAAAAGGCTAGCAACAATTCCTTCTTCCAAGATCATCTCCAAGAGGAAGTATGCATGATGTAACTTCCACTGTTCTGGGTTCCATCTTCCTCATCGATATACTTCATGAAGCATTAACCCTCCTCAATCTACTGCACAAGGCATTAAATAGCCTCCTAGAAGCTCCAAACATATCACCTGGAAAATTTCATGCCACTCTCACGTTTTAAAACTTTTGAACAAACAGCAGCTGATCCCATCTCTCAGTTTCTCTACAGCCACAAAGCATTCTTAATTCTCATCAAGAACATAGATAATTTTAGTCATTTAAATGATTATTAAATCATAAATCTTTTGAAAGACACACATTACTAGCAATTTTGTAGAACTTGACAATTTTAGATCACCAATAGAGAAAGTCTTTTCACAAAGTGTGGCAAGAACTGATCATTATATCAGTCGACACCATGCTGACCTTAATATCAACCATTCACCTAAAGTGGAAGAGCAATTTCATGATAATGCCCATCACCAACTCATACACAGTATTGACTCCATCAAGATGACAAGACCCAATGCCAAACATTCCATTTGATATAAATTTTCAAATCATTAGATCACTAGAAATACTCGGACATATTAATCACCATGAACTCTTGCGATCCTCATCAGGCCCTTGATTCTTACAGGCTATGCTGACACAACTAAGCTCAATGCGCAATTTATCGTAGGTTTATCCATGGTTATCTTGTTTACAGTACTCCCTAATCTGCAGCAAGAACAAGAAATAAAGAGTCTTTAAGAAAGATGAGAACGAAGTAGTTTCCTATTCCTAAATGTGCTAGTTGAGGGGATTCACTACTATACATGAACTTGGGACCTTGCATTGTCCACCCCAACCAGTTATTTGGTGCTGAAAGTCAGATCCATTCAGATTGCGGCCCCCCCCATTTTTCACCAAAATCATACCCAATTAAAGGATATATGAAGAATAATAAGGAATGATAGCCTACGTAGTATCATCACTAATCTCCACATCACCTTTCATGTAGGACTACCGCTCTATAAACGCAGACTCTAGAGTATATCTATTCCCATGTCAATATGATGAAACATGGGATATTTTTTTTCTTATTGTCCATTTATGAAAAACAGAGTTATCATCTTCATGTTTTGTACATTTAAGTACAGAGTTAGGGAATTCATATGGTTTACCCCAATTCAAGATTTGATGCTCATCATGATATTGCCAGGGGTAGTTTATTCCCATAATGAATACTGTATTAGTGTATACTCAAGCAGTTCAAATGTAATGCATTTATATATCCTACACTAAAGCAGCAAGCACACCTAGACCTTAGCTTATCACTGTTTGAGACCTTCAGTGAAGTAGTAAATAATAACAAAGCCTGGATAATCACCTCAATAACACTTCTCTAGCAAATTCCATAAAAGTAGAACTGTGTTACCATCTCATACCACACAACAAGCCAAATCTTCTTCTTTGTTTTAATTTGTAGAGAATTATCAGGCACACTTCTACTTATTTATGTTCATCCCATGGACTCGGTCAAGTCAATCAGACTCGCCCTATGGGCAGAGAGTCCGAGCAACCCCAAGTTGCGTGTACAACACGAAGCACATAAAAAAATTTTAAAAATTCAAAAGATGATTAGGATGTTTCTGGAAATGATTGGTGAGTGTTTCTTTGCCATAATCCCTATTTTTATATTTTCCTTCTCTTTTTGGATTTTTAAAATCTCCCCATCTATAAAGCAGCTTTTTTAGATCCATTTTCTTATAATTTCTTAAGCTCATTAGGACTTTTTAAGGTGGCTTTTAGTTTATTTTACTTTTACTACTTTCATTATATTTCTATATGTTATAATTTTTACAAAATTTCTACGGATTTTTTGCCTGTGGGCTCACTTGAGTCACTTGGCTACGCCAAGAGCCGAGTATCTTGGCCAAGTTGAGTTTCTGAACACTGGTTCATCCAAATATTGTGTTTATTTACTCAAAATATCACACTAAAATTGAATGAGTGGACATAAAATATCAAAGCCGGGGACCAACTCCCACCTAAATGTCAGAAGCTACATAATTCTACCTCCAATGTCCCAATATGATACAATAAGCACACAGTGGGTTACGCACAAATAGCAGACGCTTCCTCCAAAACACAGTGTACACAATAAAATGCATAAACATCACCACTAAAATTTCAAAATAATAACTCTAGAACAAAAAGGAATTTATCAAATCAAAAGGATAACGACAAGCACAAGCCTGCTGTCACAATATTTGCAATCTGAAATAAGCTAAGAATTAAAAACATGGATTGGAAGAAAAAATGCAGACAAAAAAGACAATTATGAAAAGTATAGTAAAGAAAAATAGAAAGTCAGTGTATAGAAACATAGAATCTCTTTGTCAAATGCCGAATTACATATGGCTCTGAAACAAGGAAGGAAAATGCAGGCAAAAAAGACAATTATGAAAAGTATAGTTAAGAAATATAGAAACTCTCAGAGTATAGAAACATAGAATCTCTTTGTCCAATGCCCAATTACATATGGCTTTAAAAACAAGGATATAATCCAGAAACCTCAATAAAATAGCATTTTTATGCGTAAAATATCACAAATAAGTTGGTGGGACGGTGGCTAAAACTTTTCACATTAAAAAAAAACAAAAATATCATAAACAAGACGGTAAAGAAATAGAAACACAAACAAATATCTATTTCAATCAAATTATAAGAAGGAAACCAATTATCTACGCCCTGTTTTCATCAAAACCAGCACACCACTTATAAAAATGAAAACCCACACTCAACGTAGCAGAACAATGGGAATGACAGAACAATTCGAGAATGCCCATAAAAACGTAATAGAAAAAGGTACCAAAACAAATAAAAAATCCTAGACAGAGAGAGGGAGAGAGAAGCGGATAGAGTTGCACGCACCCCACTTCTATGAGCTCTCTCCACTAGAGCAGTAGGACTCAGAAACCCGTCACTGCGAGTGCTGTGTGAGTGGAGCTCAAAAACCACAGGCTCTGCAACTCTCAGGGACTTCTGAACATCATTAAAATCCTCATCTTCACCTGATGATGAAGAAGATGACGAAGAAGATGAATTCAGTAAACCACCATTATTGTTAGCCCATTTCCATACACACTTCGAAGCAAAAGTCTCTTCTGCATTCATCATCTTCTTCTTCTTCTTTCTCCGATTCTTCTTCTTCTTATTCATATTCCTCCTGTTACCATCCCCCATCTCAATCTCTCTCTCTCTCTCTTCACACAACACGATACATCGGCGAAGAACGCCTCTCTCTCTACATCAGCTAAGAAATCTCTCTCGCTCTACTAGGTCATACGTAAACGAGGATGCATAGTTCTTGGGGTATTTATGGGGTACTTAAAAATTCAAATTTCTCGTTAATTAATTAGTACTTGAAATTCAAATTTATTATTTTTCCAATTAGCACTTAATTATTTACCTCTAATTATAAAATTTTAAACTTTAAAAATAGTTCGAATCAAGTAGATTTATGAACACATGAAAATCTTGAAAATTGACGGTCCAGATAATGTGTTACAAGATTCACTATCTTGGAGACTTAAAATCTTTTTTCTTTTTATATTCATATATCTCGATGTTGGGATGATCAATTAGATGATTTTCCAACATCTAAACAACCTCTTGTGATAGTGCATATTTAATTCTACAGTTTGAGGTACTCAATGTAAAAACAAGAAATCGAATTTTTAAGTAATTAATTAATTAAAGTGACCATCTTATTATCTAGCCGCCCATGTGATATCTTATATTGGAATAAAGATTCATAAGCTCGGAAACTTCAAACACTGTGTTTTTGTTTTCTTTTTCTTATTATAATTTTTTATTTGGATTTGAAGGTTAATATAAGGTTATAAAGTGAGAAAGATCAATGTTATTTTAGTTTATTTATTGGGGGGAGTAATAAATGAGTGATCCCTTTTGAATTTATCACTACCCAATTCTTAATATTTGTGTTCTTTCTTTTTACTATGGATTGATCATATTAGGTCCATTTTTTTATGTTATTTTATTTTATTTATTGGGAGGAGTAATAAATGAGTGATGCCCTTTGAATTTATCACTACCCAACTCTTAATATTTGTATTCTTTCTTTTTACTATTGATTGATCTTATCAGGTTCACTCTTTTATGATAATATGCAAAAGGCCGCTGTTTTTTTAGCACTCAAAAGTCAATCCTTCGTCATTGGTTACGTATTTTTAAAATTAAACCAATTATTAATCTATAGTTATGTGTTTAAAGTTGATCGGAGGTCATGTAATCCATCACTATCAAGTTAATATTTAATTATATTATAAAAAAAAATATACAATTAACTTTGATACAAGGTGGTCAAAATTAATTTTAATCGTTGCATTTATTCTATTGACCAAGTTCAAACTTCTTCGTCGCATGGGTTCCTAATATGTCATTGCTTGTCATTTGATCCTAATTTTTGCCAAATTATTTCCACAAACTATTGCTATTCCACTAAAATTGCTGGAATGGAATATTGAACAATGAGGTTATTTCTTTAGAAAATCCATCTCAAAGAGGGATTTGCAGGTAAAATCAGGACGACTATGATCATGAATTTGAAGGAAAAAAAAAATGACTCTAAGCTTTAAAATTAATTTGCATTTTAAATTTAATTTTTGGACCATTCATTCGTCATTTATTAAATCCTTTACTAATCATCAAATCTGCAATATTTTTTTGAGCTACCAAATTATAGTTCTAAGGCATAAATGTGTTACTTAATAACAAGTTAAGATCATCATCACATGTTGAACAAAAACCTTCCCCAAAAATTGAATGCATATTTACGGCATGTGATAGTGTAGTAGCAGCATTGAGAGTCGAACTTGAGGATAAACTTGCACTATTTTAAACTTATTTATTGGGGAGTGGGAATGGAAATATCATTATCATCAGGTGGGTTTTTGGGATTTGGTAAAATAAAAGAGATCTGCACTTTTATCTGTTTTGCTCTTCTCATAGGCCCATTAGTTCAGTCCATGCCTGTTTCAATGCATGAGGTTATTTACTTGCATCTATCC